TTTTAATATGGATGCTAGTCCTATTGGATTAGGGGCCCACTCTACTCCAGTATGATCTCATCTTAACCAATTCCACAGGAAATAGACATTCTATTTCTAAAGAAGCTCACATTCGGAGGTACTGTGGACTTCAACATATGAATTGGGGGGGGGGCACAATTTAATCCATAACACCTAATATACCCAATATAGCATCATTTCAGTATATAATCAGTACAAAAATATTAATTATATATTTTACATTCTCATTCTCATATTGTCTTTGAAATCCAGTGTGTATTTTACACGTATAAGATTCCTCGATTTGGACAAGCCTCTTTTCAAGTGCTCAGTAGCCCTATGTGACTAGTGGCTATCATACTGGACAATGAAGATATAGGACACTTTCATTATCGTAGAAATTCTATCGGACAGTTGTCTTCCAGAAAACACAAACTAATCAATGGGAACAGAAAGCAAACAGTTGTTGCCTGGGGAGGGACAAAAAGGAGCGGATTACAAAGGGGCAGGAGGAAACTTTTGGGGTGATAACATGTTCATTATCTTGATTGTAGTGATGTTTCCATATGTCAAAACTTATCAAATTCTATACCTTAAAAATGTACATTTTATTGTATGCCAATTATACATCAAGAAAGCTCAACTATACATCAATAAAAAAAGTTAATTGTAAAAATGTTTAAATAATACAGTAGGACAAATGACATAAGCCCCTACTTGCCATTTTATTATGTTATGAAGTTCAAGTGTTCATACAAAAAAATATATATATATGATTTATCATAATATAGTATGATAATACTACGGTACAATTTACTTTTGTATGTGGGTGTGTGAGGAAGATTGGCCCTGTGCTAACATCTGTTGCCAATCTTCTGCTTTTTGCTTGAGGAGGATTGTTGCTGAGTTAACATCTGTGCCAATCTGCCTCTATTTTATGTGGGATGCTGCCACAGCGTGGCCTGATGAGCACTGCTAGGTCCGCACCCGGGATCTGGGGAGCCAACCCCGGGCCACCAAAGTGGAGACTGCAAACTTACCCACTATGCCACCAGGCTGGCCCCCAATTTACTTTTTAACATACTATTTGTACTACTTATCTATGACTACATAACATATTACCACAAAACTTAGCAGCTTAAAACAACAAACATTTACAACGACACAGTCTGGAGTCAGGAATCCAGGACCATTTAGCTTCCTGGTTCAGGCTCAGGGTCCTCACGAGGTTGTCCTCAAGCTGTTGGCTGGGCTTACAGTCATCCGAAGCTTCAACTAGACCAGAGGATCCAATCCTGAACTCATTCAGGTGGTTGTCCACTACCTAGCCTTGGTTCCTCCCCCTGGAGCCTCTCCATAGGCTGCCTGTGTTTCCTCAAAATGTCAACTGGCTTCTCCCAAAGCAGGTTAGGAGGAGGGGAGAGAGAGAGAGAAAGAGAGACCAAGGTGGAAACCATGGTCGTTCCTAACCTAATCTGGGAAGTGACATACCTTCATTTTAGCTACATTTTATTGTTCAGATGGAGAAACTCTCATACAATGTGGGAGGAGACAGCAGAGGGTTTGGAACCAGGAGGTGGGAATCATTAGAAGCTGTCTGGGAAGCTGACTACCACAAAAGTAAAACTGACATATGTACTTATCTACTCACACTTTTACACAGCTACATTGTGTTGTATATTTATTAACAGGTTCTTAACTATGAACACATGGGATATTTACTAGTTTTCTGTAATAGAAATAATGAAACAATGAACATATAAGTTTGCCCACTAGGGCAAACATTTGGGTAAGATAAATTTCTTCAATGCATCTGTTTGATAAAAGATAAACACATTTAAAACTTAGATACATCCTGGGGTGGGCCCTGTGTCCAAGTGGTTAAAGTTCGCGTGCTCTGCTTAAGCGGCCTAGGGTTCCCTGGTTTGGATCCTGGATGCGGACCTAGCACCTCCCATCAAGCCATGCTGTGGCAGTGTCCCACATAGCAGAACTAGAATGAGATACAACTAGGATATGTAACTAGGTAGAGAGGCTTTGGGGAGAAAAAAAGAAAAAAAAGAGGAAGATGGGCAACAGATGTCAGCTCCTGGCCAATCTTCGTCACCAAAATAAGCATTAAAAAAATCTTGGAAAAATTAAATAAAATTTAGATAGATCTAAATTTTTCTATAGAAACTTTGGAGTATAAGTTTACTTCCAACAAAGTGGATGATATTGATCATTTCCTTAGACCCTCAGCAACACTGAATTGTTAAATATTTAAAATATTGATAATATCTGATAAGGCTAAAAATATCACAAACTAGAAGTTTGAATACATAGGTGGATATGTGATAAAGGATGTAGAGTAGAACGTGGATTGTAAAATCTAGATGGTGGCTATGGAAACCGCATTCCTTTCCTAGGGCTGCCAGAACAAATTACCACACTGACTGGCTTAAAACAACACAAATTTATTCTCTCACAGTTCTGGAGGCTGGAAGTCTGCAGTCAAGGTGTCAGCAGGGCCCTGCTCCCTCTCAAGGTTCTACGGAGTTTCACTCTTGTTATTTCACATTTCTATGAAACCCTTCCTATTAAAATGGGAAACGGTATTTAAAATATCACAAGCTTGTTTTCATCAGTATTTGATAGATTATTAGTGAGACTGAACATGTTCACATATAGATTGTGTGTGTGAAATTCTTCTACGACAACCATCATGGACTTTACATATTTTTTCGACTATTCCCGTCTCCTTTTTGTATTGATTTCTGAGAAAACAAGTGAAGAATAAAACTGATTTCCCTAGTCCAGGTATTGCAAATGTTTTCGTTGTTTTATTTTGATCATTTGACCCTGTGTGGTGAATGGAAGCAGTTATATGCTTTCCATGTAAAAACACGTGACTTTTGTCATGCAAGGGAAGAATTTACACACACCAATATTATAATGGCTATGGGACCATGATTTGAATTATGTAGGTTTAAATATTTGACTCAGCACAAGTGTATTGAGATGTACAGAGCAATAAAGAAACAATGAGCCTAAGATCCTATCAGCCACATCCCTAACAACCACATGATATTCCCACAATATGTGTCAGTAATTGGACGAGCAACTGAATGACCAAAACCAGGTCATAGTTGTAGTGTCCAAATATCAAAAGAGAAAGAAGAAACACACCAGCAACGTAGAGAAACAGTACATGTTTAATAAGATACCAGCTCCTCCAAAGGACACATCTACAAAATTAGGAAAGAGACTCTAATTATTTTCAATTTTTAAAATGCATCTTTGAAAAGTTAACATTCATACAACAAAGCAGAAGTCACGGAGCATCCATACTACAGGAAAGGGAAGGCAGAGTGTCCTAAGATGCCACAGCCAGTCTGTATCCGCTTGAGGGAGAGCCAGGGGTGGAACCCTCCTACTAGAGAAAGGAGGACAGCGAAAGCCAACTTTGCCAACAGGCACTCTCACACTTCCACCTAAACTCAGTCCCCGCAAATCAGCCATACACCGGCTCCTGGCCGCTGCCTGGGTATGCGCCAGACACTGAAAAACTGGGCTTCAGTACCCAACAGTGTGGGGAGTACAACACAGGGAGCGCTACCTGCTCTTTTCAAATAAACAACAGTACAGTAAGGCGAACTGTAAGGCTGCAGAAACTTCAGAGGCAGCGTGGGAGAAGAAAAAGGAGGCGAAGCTACACTCCTCAGTTGACCTCACAACCAGGCCGTACAGCTGCCCTTAACCACCTACAGAAAAGAAGAAAGATCTGGACAGGTCCAGACCCAAACAAGGCCAACTGGGAGACTTGCCAAGGAAACACCAAGACAGCAATCAAGATGTTCCTGGACTAACGTGTAGTATACTGTTTGCAAGGCTCTAGCTTCAACTTCAAACTACTCAGATTTACATAAGCAAGGACATGATTGTTAGAAGACTAACACAGCTCGAGAATATCAAAATTCACGAAAGTTACACACCAGGTTTATCATTTCCTCATACGTAATTGACCAAGCGTAAACACTTACAATAACCTTAAACTAATGGCGCTAATACAGACCAGTGAAGGTCTGGCAAAGGCGGGAAAGCGGGCGCGAGGGGCAAAGGAAGGGACCACAGGCCGCAGCAGGTGGCCCTCGCTGAGCAGGGAGACCCCTGTCCTCTCCCGGCCCAATCCCTAACCGGCAGCCCCACTTGAGGAGCGAGGAAGGGGGTTCCTGTGGGCCGCGAGCTTTGTCCCGGCCGCATCAGGGCTGCTGGAGAGTCGAAGCACGTGCGGCAACCGAGGCTGTGTGCTCGTGGCCACCGCGAGAGTGAAGCAGACGCGGCAAGTCTCGTTTGAGACTTTGAGGAAGGAGGGGAGCGAGGGGAGACCTCCAGGGAGCGAGCGGGGGCCAATAGGTTGCCAAGGCTGGAGGTGGCATGGAGAGGACGTGGCGGGTGACACATGGCAGTGTGAGGAAGCCGAGGCCAGGGGGCGAGGGGCGAAGCGAGCGAGCTCCAGCGCGGGCTAAAAGTGTGCGTGGTGGGGGGAGGGGTTGCGGTCGCCCGCGCCGCGCCGAGACTGCGGAGGTCGGGCGGCCGGCAGGCGAAGAGGAAGAAGAACAGCTCCCCTGACCGGGAATCGAACCCGGGCCGCGGCGGTGAGAGCGCCGAATCCTAACCACTAGACCACCAGGGAGCGTCGGGCTTCGCGCCTCGCCTGCGCCTCCTGGACCCGGGGCCCGCAGCCCGCCCGCTCGCCGCTCCCTCGCTGCTGGCGTCCCCTGCCTTGCGCAGGCCAGCCGCCCGCCGCCCCGGCCCAGGCACGCGGCCTCGCCGGCTTCCTGCTCGCCGCGCCCTCAAAACGCTGCGCAAGCCTTCTGCCCGCACGCACGCGCGCGCACACACACGCACAGCCGCCCGCCTCCGAGGAAGGAGGGCCCCGCATCTCGGCAAAAGGTCGGCCCGCTGCGTTGGCCGGGAATCGAACCCGGATCAACTGCTTGGAAGGCAGCTATGCTCACCACTATACCACCAACGCCACACAGCCTGGCATGCCCCGAGACGCCGGCCCGGGGCTCACGCCACAGCCGTCCCGCCGCCGCCGCCTGGCGCAGCCCTGCTCCGACGCCCAGCCCGACCGCAGCGCGGCGCTGCCACCGGCGCCACCAACCGCCGCCCCGCGCCAGCGCCAGCGCCGCGCCCGACGCGGCAGCCCTCGTCCGCCGGGACGGACCGCCTCTGGGGGGCGCCCTCGCTGCCACTCCACCAAGCGACCGCCATTCCGACGCCGACCGCCCCGCCAAAGCCCCGGCCGGGCGCCCGCCCTCCACCGGCCGGCTCGCCCCAGCCCTTCTCCACCGGCTGCTCGGCGAGGCAGCTGCGCGCACCGAGAGGGGACCCACCCGCCGCCCGTCCCGGCCGCTATGCAGCTGTGCAGCGCGCGTCGCGTCGCAGGGAGCCCCGTGCGCCAGCCGCTGGGGGCGGGCCGCTCGTCGGGCGCTGCAGGGAGCAGAGGAAGCCTTGGCTCGGCCGTGCCGAACGACCGCCGCCCGACGGCGAGGGGGCCTCGGGGAGGGGTCCCCGTGGGCAGGCCGGGCACGGGTTGGCGGCCTGCGCCTGGCTGGAGGGCGGGGCAGGGCGAAGAAGCGCCCTCGGGGGCTGGAGGGCGGGGCGCGGCAGGGCGAAGAAGGGCCCTCGGGGGCAAGCGGCCGGACGCAGAGCGGCGCCAGCCACCAAAAAGGGACGTCTTGCCTCCCCGTCGGGGAATCGAACCCCGGTCTCCCGCGTGACAGGCGGGGATACTCACCACTATACTAACGAGGACGGCGGCGGCCGCCCTGGCGCACGACCGCTCTCCGGCTGCCTGCCGACGCCGACCCCCGCCCTCGAGGCCCTGCCCGCCACCGGTGCCCGGCACGTGTGCCCCATCCGACCCGACAGCCAAACGACCGCGTCATCCAGCAAAGCGGACCGCGACCCGCACACGACCACGACCCCGACCGCGTGCCGACCCTGGCGGCGGCGGCTGAAAATGCCGAGTCTGCGCCGCCTCTTGCCTCCCGTGCGGAGATCGCGCCGCGAGGAAGAGGCCCTCTCGAGAGGGCCAGCGAGGCGGCGAGGAGAAGGGGGGCGCGCGCCGGGCCGCGTCCTTGTCCCGGCCGGCGCCCGGAGTGGGCGACGGGGCGGCTGCGGAGCCGGACGAGTCCGCTAGCCTTGCTCCCCGTCGGCCGGCGCGCGCGTCCCGTCCGTGGCGCGCCCACAAAGACGCCCGCCAGGCGCCGCGGGCGGCCAAGGGCCCCGCCGGCCGCGTCGGCTCCCAGCCAGGCGAGCGGCCACGCGCCCAGGCCTGCCGTCAGGATGGCCGAGCGGTCTAAGGCGCTGCGTTCAGGTCGCAGTCTCCCCTGGAGGCGTGGGTTCGAATCCCACTCCTGACACGCCGACCTTTTGGCCCGCCCAACCAACGCCAGCCTCCGGGGCCTCCCGCACACCCGACCACCTTCCTGGCCAGCCCGTGCTGGGGCTCCGGCCTGTGGCCGCCACGCGAAACTCCAGGCCCCTACACGCACTTCTCCCGACCCCACCACCTTCTCACGCCCACCGCTTCGCGGGCCTGGCGCACTCAGCCCAGGAGACTGCCCCAGCGCCTCGAACCCACTGGCAACTGTCCTTCACGAAACAGCGCGCGCGCCCCTGCCCACTCACTCACACACCCTTCCCACCAGACCCCACTCGCGGGGGCTTCAGGACTTCGCGCCACATCGTTCCTCGCCTGCTCTCGCCTTACCCCTCCGCACACCCACCTACTTTGTGGGTTGTGTAGCCCTCCCTCCTACTCGCACTCAGACTCCCACTCCCGTTCCCACTCCCACTCCCACTTCCCCTCTCTCACCCCACTCTGCGTTAGCAAAGCCCTCCACGGGTCACCTTCTGACTTCTGCCTGGTGCACAGCGCCTCGCTCTTGGAGCGCCACGCCTGCGCAACGGGCGGCACACCGTCCAACACGCTGTCCTTTCCCACAGCCCCCTGCCGCCCGGCCCGTCCATTCTCTCCACACCCTGCTCTGGTCGCCCTTCCCATCTCGCTGGCCTGTGGTGCCCACCACGACTCTTCACGTCGGGGCCTCGCCGGGGCCCCACGCAGCCCCGCCTTCTGCTCGCCAGCCCACCACAGCGCCCTCCTTGCACGGGGCCTGCCTAGCACGTGAGCACAACCCGGCAAGCTGGCTCCGGGGAGCAGCGAGCCGAAGCCCTGGATCCCCGTCGCCCACACGCAACGTCGGGCCCACGGCCGGGGCCAAGCCCCGTCTGCACGCGCCAAGGCGCCTCGGGGGCCCAACCCACTAGGACGGCGCGCCTCCTCCGCGGGCGGCCCGCCAGCCGGCAGCCACTCTGCCAAAGCGCGCCCGCCATCTAAGACCGCGCTCCTGCCTCGCCACCAAGGCACCCCGGAGCCGGACCCTTGCGGGCGAGCCATCGGCCAGAACACAGGGGCCAGGCTCAGGCCCCTCGGGTCTCTTGGCCTGAGCGCCGCTCAGCGGCGGGCGGCCGAGGCGGCGCTCCCCAGCCTGCGGCTCCCACGGCCGCCCCCACGCCACGGCCCTCGCACCCAGCCCTGCCCTGCACTGCACTGCCCTCGCCCGGCAGGCCGCGCCGTTCGCGCCCGCGGACGGCCACGCGCCCAGCGCACCCGCGGGGAAGCCTGCCGCCCAGGGGACTTGGGCACCGGCCCGTGGGTCGTCGAAGGGAACGTCACCCGCCACCGATCGCCGCCCCTCGTTGGCATTCGAGCGCGGGCCAGGCTGGGCGCGGCTCCTGGCTTCCTCTAGCGACGCCGGCAGGGTCGCGGCGGCCTGGTCCAGAGAGAAGGCGCGGGATGGGCCGGACAGCCCTGCTCTGTCTCGGTGCCTGAGTGCCCTGGGGCCTCAGCGCCTGCCCCCAGTCCGAGCGCCCTCCTAGTCCCTGGAGCCTGTTTCAGCTCCCTTGTCCACCGCTTGGCTCAGTTGGAGCATTTGGCCACAGAGGGCAGTGATCAGTGTCGGGCGGCTGGTGGGGAGCGCTGCTGGCCTGGCGTCTGGTGGTGGCGGTCATCTGCGCAGGGGTGGTTCAGTGGTACAATTGTTTGCCAGGGGTCACGGCTGGGGTTCGATTGCTGGCCAATGCATCTCAATGTTTTCTTTCAATCCGCTATTCTAATTGTTTCTTTCTTTTTCCATTGCAGCATTTATAACGCTGAAACAAACGAAAGCCGTTAGCTGAAGGCTGGGTTCTTTTGATTAGTCTCCTCCTGATTTACGAAGTGGGTTTCTTGAAGGCAGCAGAGACCTGGCGCCACGGCGCACCGACTCCGGGGTGACCTCGTCCCCCTGCCCCCTCCTGGGAGAGAACTCGGCAATCAGAGAAGGAAGACGCAGATGAACTGTGGTGAAATGTCCCTCCTGTTGTCCAGACCCGAGGAGCATCGTACCCAGAGGCAGGTTGGAAGGCACCGTGTGCATTTTTCCATGTGGCCAGGACTCAGGTGGGGAGTTACCTGCTGCACGCCGCAGTCCATCCTATGCCCTGAAAGCCAGAGGGCGAGTGAGTTCACTGGTCAGCGAAGCCACCCACCTGCCATCAGTCCTGCGGCCTTACAAATTGGGTCTTCCCCGTGTCTCAGTTTCTTTAATCCAGAACATCCTATTTGAGCTTTCTAGTGTTTCTACCGGGCGTGGACTTCTGCTGAGAAGCCAAAAGGAGGAGCCTTTTCAGAGACGTGAAGGTGGAAAAAGAAGCAAAAGGTCTCTGTAAGCTCCTGTCTCCCGGCTGATGGGCGTGGCTTCCATTGTACTAACGAGGACCGAATCTAAGGGGAACGTGATAGTTTCTAATGGTGAACTTTAGTAGTGTATTTTTTGTAATATATCCTTATTTGCCTGATTCAAGGGAAACTAATTTTCAAAAAGAGAAACTAAAAACCAATGCTCCGTAGTGGCTCTTTTCTCCTCAAATGGCTCAGAACCCTATGGAAAGTTCCTGGGGCCTTTGAAGAGGGAGGAGGGGTCAGGATGCAGAGGTCAGTCCCCCTTCTGGACTGGGTTTCTTGGTCAACCCTCTCCCAGTGTACCACTGAGAAAGAGCTGGCAAAGTCTTCTGCTACAGAGATCAGCTGTACTGGAAGGTGATCAGTCCAGGAAAAAAGGGAATGTTTGAAGAAGAGTGCAATGAATGACTTCCAGAGTGGAAAATGAAACCATCCTCAAAAAGGAGGAACCTATTCTCTTTCATAACTCCAGGAACAAGAGAAGCTGCCAGCTTGCAATTCATTCACTCTCACAGTCTAGGCCAGCCAGGCCTGGATGTCAGAGTCCAGACATTTTGTCCAAGGACCTGCAAGAGAAGGGTCCTCCCCTCAGAAGGGAAAAGGTGGTCTGGCCGCGGGTCTGTGCCCTGCTCTGTTCAGGGACTGCCTTGTCCAAGCTCCTCTAACCTTTGCTCCTAGCCCTCAGCAGCCTCAAAACCCCACCTACCCACCCAGCCCCGAGAGTTCCAGGAAAAGCCCTAAAGCAAGCACCTTCGTGCCTGCACATTTACCGCAACATCACACAGGTATTCTTCCGATCTCGTTCACTTCTTTACTTTTTACTTCAGAGAGGTTGGAGTATAGGGGAGCTTATGTATGCAGCGCTAACTTTACAACATGCTTCCATGTATCCATTTATGTTTAGGAACTCAGTTTGAGTATCTTTAAAAGTAGAACAGATATTAAAGTGATGACTTCAATAGACATTGTGAAGTGGACGGATGCTCATGACCCAAGACTGAGTATGAAAAGCAAGCTGCAGAACTAGACGTATAGTATGACCCAAAACTGTGTATATGATGGTCTGTGACACCAACTACCTGTCTATCCTTGAAGAAGTCATTTCAACCATCTGGGCCTCAGCTCACTCAATTTTAAAATGAGGAGATTGGACTGTGTCATTTCCAAGGACTTTCTAGGTTTAAAATTCTCTGATTTCAAATGCTGAAGAATTTGCTCATTCCAAAAATATTTATTGACTCCTTTATCATGTGCCAGACACTGACCTGGACTCAGGAATACGGTCGTGAACAAAATAGACACAGGGCCTGCTCTCCCAGAGCTCTCATTCTGATGAGAGGAGGAGACACACAATAAACAATTACACAAGAGATTGTTTATTAAACAATTATCAATTAAACAATTAAACAAGGGGATTAGGGGATGGTGGGAGAGTGGGGTTATATTGAAGGATCAAGGAGCCCTCATGGATAAGGTGACATTTGAGGAAAGATCATAATGAAGTGTGATGTGGATATCGGTAAGAAAGAACCTAATGACATAAGCCCTAGGCAGAAGTAGAATTGGTGTGTTCAAGGAAGCAAGGAAGAGCAGGAGATGAGGTCAGAGAGGCAGTGAGGAGCAAGATCATGTAGTGCCTAGTAGAACATTGCAAAGGCTTTAGCTTTCCTCTTAATTGCAAGGGGGAGCTCTGGCATGGCTTTGAGCAAAGAAGTGAAAGATACAATACACAGGGGGCATCCCGGTGGAGCAGCGGTTAAGTTTGCATGTTCTGCTTCTCAGAGGTATGGGGTTTGTGGGTTGGGATCCCGGGTGTGGACATGGCACCGCTGAGCACCATGCTGTGGTAGGCATACCACGTATAAAGTAGAGGAAGTTGGGCACAGATGTTAGCTCAGGGCCAGGCTTTCTCAGCAAAAAGAGGAGGACTGGCAGTGGTTAGCTCACAGCTAATCTTCCTCAAAAAAAAAAATAAATAAATAACATTTTAAAAAAGAGAAAACACACATTTTTAAAAGATCACTTTGGCCGTTGTGGTGAGAATCGACTGTAGGGTGGCAGGGTGAGTGTAGGGAGACCCATCAGGAAGCTACTGCAGTAACCCAAGTGAGACATGATGGTGGATTGGACCGAGGTGCTGGTAGCACAGTCCTGAGAAGCGGTCAGATTGCTGTATTGATTGAAAGGAGAGGCAGGATTTACTGAGTTTTTCTAGATTTGGGGAGCCTCTGTCTAAGGGCTATGAAAACACATCTGCCACAGCAATAGTCCTTGTCAAGCTAGGTGGGCTGTGACTGTGCCTTGATCCTCAGGAGCTCAGCGAAGGTGGGGCCTGTTGACATCTAGCTCTGAAGATCACCGGTCACAAGGGTGGTTGGAATCTCCTTGGCCCAGACCTCATTTGTTTTCAGAGCCCTGGCTCCATCTCTCTTTGCAATTCCTCCAGTCTCCCACTGATCTTGGAAGGTCTCTCTGCACAGAAACATACAGCCCTGTATCCACTGCAAACAGGAGTCCCATCACCAGGCAGAAAGCGATTTGAAACCAATGTAGAAAGACGAATACAGTTGCCAGACCTGAAAAGAGAGGCAGAGGGATGAGAAGATTGCCAGTTGTTAAGGCAGAAATTTGGAATAAACAGTCAGGTCCCCATCGGGGAGCCTTTGTGAAGTCACCCAAGCCAGGGGCTAAGGCCAAGGCCAAGAGCAGACAGGAGTCCAGGAAGTCTCATAGGATCTCTTCATCTCTCGCCTTCCCAAATAAAGCTCTGGATCAGCATTTCCCAAAGGGTGACCTTGCACATGTGTTCTGAGGGACATTAATAGAAGTTAAACAGGAAAAAGGTTTTGTGGTCACCTAGGTTGGGTAGATGCCTTATAAAACTTAGATGAACAGTTTTTTTTACAATACGACTTCTAGAAGTCTTTAATGAGCGTTATGATTATAAATGGAGAGGAACGGAGTACTCAGCATCTTCTGCATTAAGGACCACACAATCATTCATTCTGAAAAGCCTCTCAAGGGATGTATTTTGGGAAATATTGATCTGGGGAATCCACAGACCACATCAACACATTGTCACTTGACACCTCCTCTGAGCCCAGGAGTGATATTCACTGGGTGATATTCACTGACCAAGACTATAGTTTGTGAGGCTCCTGAAAGGGCATCATATGGATTTCACAACACACAGTTTCTCAGGAGCAGACAGAAGCCTAGTTCTTTGCTTGTGGAGAGAGATCCTCATGCCAACATGGATGCCCAGAGCTTAGATGGGAGCCTAGGCTGAGAGGGTGAGTAGGGAGGCACAAGAAGCCTCAGAATCCTAGAGACAAGAGGGCCATATGGCAAAGTGGAGTGGTTTGAATGAGGTGGGAAGAGGGAGGGTGGTTATGTCTGGTGGATGGATTTTGGGGGATGAAAAGGTGGCTTCTGTCCCCTGAAAGTTAAAACTTCAGGTGAATCACACCTGTTTCTGTAATCCCTGAGGAATGAGCTGAGACAGAGCTGCAAAGCCACACAGCCATCAGGTCCAGCTAGGACTTTTAGGGTTCCTGTTGACATCAAAGAGGCCCACTCAGGAGGAGGCAGGTACTGAAGTTCAGAAAAGATTAGTGATCCTCTCCCTACCCATCCTTCCAGGGCCTGAAGCTCCTAGAACAGCCTTGGTTCTCACCTTGGACAGTGATGTTCACAGGCTGTGAGGAGCGCAGCATCTGCCCTATAAATCCTGTGCAGTGGTACTCGCCACTGTGACTGAGGCTCGCTCCTAGGATCAATAAGCTGGAATTGACAGGGGAAAACTTCTTGGATTTTCCATTCTGGAAAAATACGACCTTGTACAGAGGGTTGCTTCTCCAGCTGTGGCACCTCAGGTGGATGGGCTCCCCCTCTTGGAACACCAGGCGAGGGGTCTGGAGCAGCAACCAGTCTGAAAGACACAATATGGGAAGGAAAAGTTCTAAGGCTGGATACCAAGGCCCTTGGAGCCTCATGCATGGGGCAACATTACCCACTCACAGAATTGGAAGAGATGTCGAGCAGAGGAACTGAAGATGCTTCATGGCAAGTGTGAGCACTCCCTTACCGGGAAGATATGGTATTATCTGTGGGACCTCTGAAGGATAGAAGTTTTCAGAAGTTCCAAAGATGCATGGTAGGAACACGACTCCTTGGCCCAGGGGTGTGGGCTGATTTTGAGGTATTACGAACACTATATATGATAAGGAAATGAGTGCATTTCAGTAACTGTAGAGGTTGCTGAACAGGACCTGAAACCTTCAGTTTGTGTGGATACAGCATTGGTGGTCTGGGGATTACAAACTTTTGAACATATTTGGAAAATGAGGGTGAGCAGCCATTAACCATATTAGTAAGGAAGCAGAGCTTTAATAATGCCTCACCAACCCTGAATGGAATCTTCCTTCCACATTAGAAATGGAAATGTGTGACCTTGCGAATTCAGTATTCAGTTGCAACTCTGCACAAGAGGAGCATTAAAGAAAGCTTTTTAACTAAAATCACTTTTCCTCCCTCCTTACAAAGAGTCCCACTCCCAACCAAGGCCTCCCTTCACTGATGGCACAGGAATCAGATTCTGAAATGTGGCTACCTTGCAGGGCTACAGAGAATGTTTCAGTAAAGCTAATAGGGAAGAAAATCAAATTGCTCTATTTATTATAAGAACAAATACTAGAATTTGTTACATCTTATTTAAATGAAAGCTCCTTTAGGAAAACAGTATTCTGTATATGAAAGGCAAGGTAGCGTGAGACAGAAATCTGAAGTCAGGATTCTGATTGTGCCCCTACTGTTTCCCTCTGGGCTCCTAGGGCTCACGGGCTTAATCTCTTTGCACAATGGAGGATGGGACGAGGTGGTTTTCCTCTAATGACCTTTCAGAACCAAGTTTGGTTACATTTATATTTTTACATTTTTGTAGGAAAACTCAGAAGTACAACCAGCTGTTTCTGAGGTGGCAATGCACCAAGAGAAGAGTTGGGTAGCTGTGATGTCATTGTTCAGGTGTGTGAGGTTGAGTCAATATTTATTTCCCTTTCCATTGAGCACCATCAACAGAAAGTGACTCCACCACCAGCATCTCTGGCACAGGACCTTAAAAGACTACCAGAAAATCACCCTCCAGATGTAAAACAGAATTAAAACACTGAAAGCTCACATGTGACCATCTTCAGGGTTTATGCACCAAGATGCAGCTGAAGTCAACTACAATATAAATGGCTCATATTTCAGACATTGGAAGGGGGGTAATAGAGTGTCTAGGAGCATTTCCCTACAGAGTCTATTAAACTGAACACAGTCAGATATTTACATAAACCTACGTCAGATCCTGTGACTCCTTTAATTAAAGCCATCTAATGAATTCTCATCTCCTTCAGGAATATCAGTCCAAGTCATCATACCAGACTACCAGCTGCCACATGCTCGACCCCTTCCCGTCCCCGTCCCCTCTGACCTCATCTTCCAGATTCCATATCTCCCTCTGGTCTCCCGCAGCTTGGGCAGAACGACCTCCTCAACCCTGCCGGGCATGCTCTCAGCTTAGGACCTTTGCAGTCTGGTTGCCTTCAATTCCGAAGTTTTACCACACTGCCATGAGGGTAGGTGGTTTTATGGAGCAGAAATTTCCTTCTGCTTCTCTCACCTCCGGCTGCTTGTTTGTGGCCGAGTAACCTTCCTACTCAATCAAGACTGAGGCCAAACAGCCTAACATGTTCTGAGGAATGTCTTATGATCTTCCAACCCCACCACACACACCAAGCAAAGGGGGTTGGTGAAAAGGGAAATGAGTGGGCAAGAACTACTTCAACCAACTCACAGCGATGGTTTCCAGTAAACAGGCACCCCTGTTTCCTAAAAATTTCTACCACATCAACAGATTTCATCTCTCCTTGTCCTCCCAGACCTTCCCCAGAACTTCCTCCACTGACCGGAAATCACATCCAGATGCGCAGGGTCACTGAGGCTCGTGTGGCCCGTCTGGCACCTGTAGTCTCCACTGTTGTTGTTTTGGGCCTTAAAGCTGTAGCTGGGCTGGACCTGGGTCGGGATGGGGCTCCCATTATGGAACCACTGAGTGGGGTGGTCTTCAAGGGTATGGGCCCCCTGGCACTTCAGAGTCACATAATCATCCTGCAGCACGTTGATCCATGGGGGCTCAAGGCTCACCACAGCCTTCGGGAGACCTGCTGAGGGACAGAGAACAGAAAGGGATGGGAATAAATAACCTTGGAGGGACCATAGATTCCAAAGGAGTTCCCAGGGGAGACCAGGGGCCAGAGAGTCCTACTGCAGACCCAATTAAAGATCTGTGTACTTCTAGCAGCCTCATTCCCTTTAGATCTTTGGTGGATCCAATGGGAATCCGACCAAGAATCAAATCCCAGGTCCCACTAAAATGGGGGAACCACCCCTGCTGAACCCAAGCCTGGTTCTTGGTGGAACAGACATTTCCCTACATGGGAAATAGAGCCTCACATTGTGAGGCAATAACACCATAAACCCAAGGAAGCAAAGAGCAAACTCACCAGCTCCTGTGTGTGCAGAGGCTATAAAAGAGAAGAGAATGGATCAGTGTAGAGCAGGAAAGATGAGGGGAGCGAACATAGCAGGATGGGTGTGGAGAGAGGGAGAGGGAGGTGATGTTGGGCTCCTTCTTCCCAGGACCCATCTCAGAGCCTGTTTCTAGTCACGTTGTTTCCAGTTTCCAGCCTGTTTCCAGTCCTCTTATAAGAGTACTCATTTCTCATGTCCTCCTCACCTCAGCCCTGTCTCTCCACAAGGCTACAAGGGAAACATGAATGTGTGGGGGCAGGGACTGTGAAAGAACCTCTGAATTCCAATCTGAGGAACCAGTGGAATGGTAAGAATTCAGGGTTCTCTCTCCCCTTTCCATCTGTCCCCAGCTTCCAGGGCCCAGGGCTGCCCCTCATCACACTGACCCCTGGCGCCCTCACAGAAGTGACTGAAACTGCCCTGTTGCACGATGACCCTCACTCACCCAGCAGCAGCAAAACGGTCAGTGGTTGAAGCAGCCACAGGTTACCAGGATGTACATTTGGAAACATCGGGATCTCCACAGTCATCCCAGAACTGGGCCTGAGTCCAGTGGCGTTTTGGAGAGGAACTTAGAAAAGAGGAAGGAAATTGTTACATTCTCTCATTCAGTTTCATCAGTCACAACACTCCATTTCTGCTAATCAGTCAGTAACAAATTAGACCAGAAGCTGAGTCAGCTTTACAGTCAAATCTTTCTTTCATGTATCCCCTTGTTTGGTCCTGGTGAAAACCCTGGGCAGGGGTTCTTGAGCTGGTGAGGACATTGACCAGGGGAAACACCAGGAAGCAGAGCTGAGATGGAGCCATTGTCTTGGGTTCTCAGTTCAGCGCCTTCTGACCACACTCCCTGTGCTGCCTCTCTGGCCGGTAGACAGGAAGTTTTAAATGAATTTCAACACAGACAAGATAAAGAAACCCATTAACTATGCAACCAATAAGAATCAATGTTAAATGACCACAACACAATGGAGCAGTTATCTGCAGGAAATACTCCATCCAAGGAAGTCTCTAAGTACCCTGCAGGCAGGACTATCTTTCCTTCATCTGCCCTTCACCCCTGGATAGCAAAAGTAGGCAAAGGGAACTACATCAGACTTAAAAACTTCTGCATATCAGTCAACAGAGTGAAAAGATAAGCCATGGGATGGGAGAAAATATTTGCAAATCATATATCTGATAAGGGGTTAATATCATGAATATACAAAGACCTTCTACAATTCAACAGCGAAAACAGGGGCCGGCCAGGTAGCATAATGGTTAAGTCTGAGTGCTCAACCTTGGCGGCCCGCAGTTTGCAGGTTCGGATCTCGGGCATTGACCTAGACACCACTCATCAAGCCATGCTGTGGTGGCATCCCACATACAAAATGGAGAAAGATTGGCACAGATGTGAGCTCAGTGCCAATCTTCCTCAAGCAAAAACAGGAAGATTGGCAACAGTTGTTAGCTCAGGGCCAATCCTCCTCACAAAAAAATCAAAACCAAGCCAAACAGATAACCTGCTTAAAGAATGGGCAAAGACTTAAATAGACGTTTCTCCAAAGAAGATATACAAATAGCCAACAAGCATCTGAAAAGATACTGAACCTCACTGATTGTTAAAGAAATGCAGATCAAAATCACAGTGAGATATCACCTCACACTCATTAGAATGGCCACTTAAAAAAAACAAAAAATCCCCAGAAAATAACAAGTGTTGGTGAAGATGTGGAGAAATTGGAACCCTTGTGCACTGCTGTTGGGAATGTAAAATGGTGCATCTGTTATGGAAATCAGTATGGAGGTTTCTGAAATACTTAAAAATAGAATTGCCACATGATTCCTCAATTCCATTTCTGGGTTTATTTATTTATTTATTTTTTATTATTTTGAGGAAGATTAGCCTTGAGCTAACATGTGCTGCCAATCCTCCTCCTTTTGCTGAGGAAGATTGACCCTGAGCTAACATCTGTGCCCATCTTCCTCTACTTTATATGTGGGACACCTGCCACAGCATGGCTTGCCAAGTGATGTGATGTCCCCATGTGGGATGCAAACCATGAACCTCGGGCCGTGAAAGCAAAACGTGCAAACTTAACCACTGCGGCACTGGGCCGGCCCCTCATTTCTGGGTTTACATCCCAAAGAATTCAAAGCAAGATCTGAATGAGATATTTGCACATTCATGTTCATTGCAGCTTTATTCACAATCACCACCAGATAGAAGCCACCCACATGTTCATCGACAGATGTATGGGTAAACAAAATATGGTTTATATACACGAGGAATAGAATATTACTCAGCCTTAAAAAAAATTCTGCCACATGCTACAACATGGATGACCCTGAGGACATCATGCTAAGTGAAATAAGCCAGTCACCAAAACATAAATACTGTGTGTGAAGTACCTAAAGTAGTCAAACTGACAGAAACAGAAAACAGAATGGTGGTTGCCAAGCGCTGGGGAGGCGGAAATGGGCAGTTGTTGCTGAATGCTACAAAGTTGTAATTTTCCAAGATAAAAAATTGTAAAGACCTCTTGGACAGCAATGTTAATGGACTTAACAGTCCTGAACTGTGCGCTTAAAAATTGTTAAGACAGCTGGTTCGTTGTTATGTGTTTTTTCTTTTTACCATGGTTTAAAAAATACTTTTTAACTCAGACTATGAGATCTTGGACAAGGTACTTAAATGTCCAAAGCTTCATCTGTAAAATGGACACTAGCTGGTACCTAATAAATGTTCAAGTCAAAATGCATGAGCATTACCAAGGTTTTTAGCATTTGAGTTTTTCTGGAAGGATTGATTCATTATTGTCAAAATCTTTATGGTCGAAATCTCATCAAGGAGACACTGGAAGGGACAAAAGGAAACTTTCGGAAGTGACGGATATGTTTATTACCTTGATTCTGATGACGGTATCATGGGTGTATCCATATGTTCAAACTCATCCAACTGCAGACATTAAATATATGCAGTTTTTGTATAACAATTATATCTCAGTAAAGCTCAAAAAATATATATATAACACAAAAATGGGAAGAAGAAGGTGTTGGAGTAGTTTGCCCCCAGCAGGAGCCAAAGATGCAGGGATTACCTACAACCAGCAATGCAGCCTGCTGGAGAAGAAGGGACCCAGAGCCTGGGGAAGATGGCAGTGCGCTGCTACTTGCCATGGACAAAGGACAGAAAGCGAAAGCAGATTACCCTGTCGTTCACAGCATTTTCTCCCACTGAAAGTTTCTCCCATTGAAATTGTAAGCATGAGGCTCTGGACTGTTTCAGGTGGACGCAGGCATTTCCTTTCACCTACATAATGTAACGCTTCTGCATTCTTTAGGGAGAATCCCATTCCCATTCCCAGGACATCCTTCCCTGGCTTATGTTCTCAAAGGGCAGTTCCTCCTTTGATGTCCTTTCATTAACAAGCTCTCCCCTTTGAGACGACTGGGGCTTTGGCAACCATAGAGAACTGATAATGTCGAGCCATTTCAAGATAGGACCGCTCTTGTTTCTTTATTTATAGGAGAGTCTTCCTCTGTGAGGTTCTGTTTTGGCCCAAGGAGAAAGGGAGTCCACACTTAGGATTCTATTAAGTGACTTTTCAGATTCAATTCAGTTGAAGGGGAAAGACTGGCCCATAAGAGGGATTTACCACTGAAGCATCGCTCAAGAGGTGCTGTGGGATAATGAAAAGGAAACACAAGCAGTGTAAACAGCCTAAATGAGAATAAATGGAAAATTGTGAAACCATGCTACGTTTTACTACACGTACCCTCCTCCACTCCCAGGAGATGGCTGTAAGTATGAAAAGCGGTAAGACAAGTGTGATGGTAATTTATGTGTGGGCAGGCATGACGCAAGCCTTTAAGGGCAGAATAGACCAAAAAGGCAGAGGCAGGGCAAATTCCAGCTCTCTCTGCATGAGCTGACACATCCGTCTTCTGCTCTCAGACATCAGAGCTCCTGGTTCTCGGGCTTTCAGACTCACACGGGGACTTACACCATCAGGCCTAGGATTCTCAGGCCTTTGGACTCTGACTGAACACCACCAGCAGCTTTCCTGGTTCTCCAGCTTGTACACAGCAGATCTTGGGACTTCTCAACCTCTGTCACAGCATGAGCAATTCATATCATAAATCTCCCCTTAAGTGTATCTCGATATATCCTATAGGTTCTGTTTCTCTGAAAAACCCTAATACAGCAAATAAAAGCTGGCAAGTCTCTGCTCATAAGTGAGAAATGAATGATAATTTGGGGTCACCCAAATAACAATGTCCTCGGAGCATGCTGGGTTGGAGGCCTTGAGAAACAAGGGAAAATCTAAACTGGAAGTGATACGGTTTCACCTTCTCGGAAGATCAGAAAAGTTCTTTTTTAATATTCAAGTAGATAGAAAACTCTAGCTACAGACTTCCCAGCAAAAAGGAGTCCCAGAGAACCAAGACTTACTACCCAAGAGGGATTTGATATTAGGGAGTCTGGGCATATGAAACACGCTAAGACTTTGGAGCAATCAGTAGTAGTGAATGAGGTGTGTTTCTTCCCAAACCTCAGCTCCAGTGTGTTTCATGCCCCTAACTCTGCTTTTGCCCCGATACGCTAATATTTTACCTGTCCCACTTCGCTCAGCATCTGACCATGGACGTGCTCCCCGGTTTGGGCTTGTTCCTACCCACACTGTGCTGAGAGAGTAACATGGTCTCACCCCACTGTGCAGTAGAGACAGGAAAGAAATTGGAATTCAGACTACAACAATGGAAGAACAGGGAGCTTTTGAGGAGGAAATCTAAAAAGGAAATGATAACCTTACCCTCAGAACACATTAAAACTTTAAGTGGCACCTCAAACGCCAATAGATGGATATTTGTCCCTTCGAGAGAGAATTAGGGAAAGGTGCAAATGCACACACACAGGCAGGAGCCCATGAATTTGAGAGTACAATGACACCGAGTATAATGACTCCTCGAATATACTAGGAGAGCCTGAGGTTGCTTGCTTGCTTGTTTTGTGGTTTGGTTTGGTTTTGTGTGTGTGGGTGTGTGGTATATTTCTCCTAGGAAATGAAGTCGATGGAATTGATAAAGAAGCCGTGAAGATTAGTTGTATTTGCAGCCTTCAGAGACAGGCTTTATAGAAGAACAGCTCTTGAGAAGAATGCATAGAAAAGAAAAGAATTTGCTATGAAGTCTCAGGTAGACTTTTGAAGGTAGATGTGTGTTGAACCTAATGTTTAAATGTGAGATGGGCAGAGGAAGATTCATTTCTTCCAGAAGATCCAGGGCCTTCATGTCCACCTGTTTCCTGGTAACCTCTTCTGCTCTCTCAGATTAAATTTTACAGAACTGTGTCTATCCCAGGCTTGGGTTTTTAACAAGGCCTTCTGTAAGATTTCCTGGCCACCTACCCCAACACATTTCTCAGAACTTATAGAAACTCTATTCAGCATTCCAGTCCCAGGAGTGGCATTTTTGTGGTGCTAAAGAGGACTTCAAGCTCTGTGCACAAGATCTACAACAGTTTGAGGGTGAAGACTGCCTGTGAACAAGGGCAAGAATAGGGGTGTCATGACTCACAAAAATATAGAT